TATATATATATATATATATATATATATATATATGTAATTTGATAGCTTACCTCTTTGACTAAAAACTGATATATCAGCTAGTAGCTTAACTAAATTAAGCTAAATTCATAAATGATGGGAGCAACAAATAACTTGGAAGCTTAATTTATCTAGAGACTTACAACAACCTGAAGTTAGCTCACCTTACGTGCTAGAGACTGGAGACAGATGCAAACAGCTGTTAGATTTTGCTGTTCCCACAAGTCAACAGTCTGAAATATCTCCTCGGATGGCACGCCCAGCTTCTGAGCACTTTCAAGAAAATAATTAATGTTCTCCATTTTTTTAAATGCCATCTTACTCTCATTAATTTTCTTTTCTGGGATAGTTCCTGGTTGGAGAGTGTTGATTAATCTGTAACAATTTGTTTTTCTTTTTTTAAAATTGAATAAAACATAAATGTTACTTAGAAAAACATCATTTTTCCTACAGGTAACTTTATTTCACATACTTTTCACTAAGAAATTATGACTCAGAAATATTTAACAAAAAATATATATGAAATCACAACAGTTTAACATGAGAAAAACACACAGATATCCACAGATTTTTTGTTCTTTCTTAGAAAAAAATATGATCAGAATGTTTCAAAATAATTGTTTTATTTCATGTAGTACCAGATGAAACTGATAAACATAAATTCACTTCTTTTAGAACGAAATGCATCAAATGACCACTGCGGAAAAAAAGAGAAATCAATACAACAGCAATCTTTAATATAACTATATGATTATAAGTTACATTTCAGAAAATCAACAACACAATAAGACTAACAAAACAAAACAAATATTTAGCATAGAAAATATTATTTTCATTACTGGTTTCTTTTCAATCTGTCCCAGGAAAAATTCATTAAGATTAGGAAAATTAATCTCAGGAAAAGCATGATAATGTATAACATTTAATCCAGAACCCAAGAGCTTCTAGGGACCTAAGGTGAGCCCTGGACCACAGCCATAATGGGTGTGCCTGTGGAGCACATTCTCTCGCTTCGATTGGTCAAATAAACCTTGCCTCCTACACCTCTGTATTAAATTGTAATAATATAACTTATCTTTAACTATTTGTTACAAGTATATTACTTTCAAATGTCAATGGTTGAACTTTCTGTTGGAAATAATACGATGACTTCAAGAAATCGTTTATTCTTTGTATCAAACGAGTTCATGTCACTACAGGCTATAATTTGAAATATCATTTAGATTTTTGTAAATGTTTCACTTATAGCCTAACCAGGTTTTACTGAAAAAGTAGCGACTCAACACAGATTAAAAAAAAACACCTTTAAACTTTCGAGCTTCCTGGTGATTAAACGGGTAAGGTTGAAGGCTTATAATGCTAAAATTCTGAGTTACATACTTCGGTGGGCACAGCAAAGATTGCATATTGTGCAACTTTGTGCTTAACAACAACAGAAAAAAAAGAATTAAATTTTAGAACTTGATAAGAAACAACGAACGCTACATATGCTTACAACTCACTTGCAAAGAAGTTTCCCATCACAGAGAGTAGCGTAGAAGTTCTTACTATCTCCGTCTATGTTGATATTTTCTCCAGTGAGATCTCTGATCCAATCTAGCAGTTCAGATGCAAGTTGGGGATCGTACTTGGCTTTAAGCTACAAAGCAAATATCGTTATATTTATTCTGACTGATAAGTAATATTTTCATAGTAAACCACACTTTTTATACATGGCAATCTTTACGGTACTTATCCATACTGACTTGAACGATGACAGGATACGTTTTCCTAGAGAGTTTTACCAGTGAGGGCAATAATCAAAATAATTGAACTAACTTGTGCATATTAACTATACTTGAAACGTTAAACAAAAGTATGAAGCATCAAGCTCAATTTCTATACACACAAACAAACACACACATTTATTCATATGTAATTCAATAATTTAAATATTTAAAACCGTCCTCGTAGAAACAGGAAGTGTGATCCTACTTATTATAATAATAAAAACTGCCAAATTATGAAACACCATTAAAAAATATAATCTCAAACTTATGTTTGTGTTAAATGTTCATTTCAGTTCTAAAGACAATCAGTAATATTAATACTGTCATCACGTTTATCAGGTTACCGCCAAACTTAGATGCGATACCCTGGTATATGACATCAGTAAATACTCAGAAAAGAAAAATACATACAGTATGACACATTGTGTCCATCCATCGAGATAGATAATGTTTTAACAGCCGCCAACTAAACTGATATTTTTGTTAGATGGGCTGGCGTAGCTTATTTATTCAGAGAAAATACACCTTAAATATCTAAATAAATTAAAAAAAATAAAAATATGTAGAGTCCTTTATATTTGTTACGAAATATTATCACTTTTCCCAATAGTTCGAAATGGTTCTTTCTAAACTCATTTAACTTGAAATATTTTAAAATGTTCATTGAATTTAAATATATAAAAAATTAGTATTAGAAGTATTTAATTATATTTTGCAACGTCATAATCAAAGTCATTTTTTATTATTATTAATTTTCTATGACATGGCATATTTAGTGAATTTTAGCAAATTGGGATCATGTCTGGTAAGTACAAAAAAATTCTCTAATGGCATACAAGTGAGGTTTAATTATGTCCTTAGGATTTTTATTATCCTGCAGCAATTACCTATGTAGAAAAACTGACACGAAATTCATTTTAAAAGTTTCTGGCTTAAGAGTTACTTAAAATACGTCTTCTGTACAATAATGAATTGTTATAGTACGTAGTGCATATTTATACTGAAGCTGTTACAGTTTTCACCCACCCACCCCCAAACACACGAAACTAAATGGTGATGATATTGGTTGGTGGTACTCGTGTTGAAATGACCATTAAAATTCATTTGTAATACCTTAAGAATAAAAAAAAGCAAAACAAAGTAACAACAACTTTGCTTAAAAATTATTTTTCAAAGAATTATGTATGTAATAAAACACATTCATGTATTATCGAAAACAAATTAGTGGCAATCGAGCGTCATGATAAACAGGGTCAAGCTGTATGTTACGGACGCTTATTGTTACCATTGGAACAAAAATAGAAAATACATTGCTATAAATAATTTAAAGATAAGTATATAATTATAAATTACGATTATATTCAGGCCAAACAGTCTGTTAAGGCCAGACCCTCACTCTCTCAGTACTTTTTTTTACGCAAATCAGTATCTAATAGTCAATAATATGACCTGACAAGCAAGTACTTGATCATTTGGTCTAAGCTGGTAAGTGACCCTTTGGTAGATACGATTTTAGACCCATTCACTTCATGACATTTCGCTTCACTGCGGAATGTAGAATGTCACCATGCATGTGCAACGAGGAAAGTCTGGCGCCAATATGCATGTGCAACAAGGGAAGTCTGGCGCCAATATGCATGTGCAACGAGGAAAGTCTGGCGCCAATAATGCCCGCTTATAATCAGTTTTGATAAGGCACAGAGTTATCCTTGACCACTCTTTTGAAAAAAGCTGTTTTCAGGCCATCTGACGGAACGTGCTGCGTCTCTCTCTAGAACATTCCCTTCCATGATCAATGGGATTAAAGTCCAATAAGCGTGAAGGCCAGTCCATCTACAAGTTTATCACGGTGGAGTGGACTGAAATCAAGGTCAAGTACATCAGCATTTGGTAGTTCTGAAAACCTGTAGGGTGTAGTTCCTATCACGCGTGGCATTAGCTACAGAACCAGGATGAAGATCGGCAAGTTTAGTCATACTTCCATCATAAACATATCCATCAAGTTTCAGCATGAAAAGGGGAGTAAATCAAGTTCTAACTTCTCTCCATCCGAGTATAGGTCTGTTACATGTCGAAGCTCAAATGGTTTAAAAATAATTTTACTGCACGTGTTGTTGGGCAGTTGAACGTGTTCTTGATACCATTGCTGGAAAGCCGTTTTTGTGTCTTGTTATGGTGATGAAAAAATAACTGTCTCTGGCATGCAAGCTAGCCTTTTAAAGTCTCTTTCTAGCTATCTGTACACTAACACGACGTCCAGCTGTAGCTCCGAGTATCTTGGAGAATGTACCCTATGATTTCAGTAAGCTGGAACTGACAGATAACAGTTTATGTAGAATTAGCAATGATTTGAGTTTCAGATCACATGACTGGTCGGATGCCTAGTTTTCACAACAGTGAACTAAGAAGGGATGATTGTCGTATTTTATAACAACGGTTTTTGCTTCGTCGTGGCTATAATACATATTCTAATTATACATTGATCGTTCAATGCATTCCAATAGTCAGCACAGACATGATCCATTTCTATTCGTAAAAGGTTCTTAAGCGCAACACTAATGATATGAACATTCCCTGCGCTCCTCCAGATTTCTGATCAAACGTGACAGTGGTCGAAACTGAAACTGTTCAATAATGCCAAATAAACTATCGATTTGGTTTATAAAGAACTTTAAATTCCGATACAAGTGACCCTTTCACCTCCAATCAGAAAGATTACGGTATAAAATTCGGTTCTACTGGAAGTTGTCATAACTAATCAGAAATATTGTGGTTAAAAAAAAGAACACGTAACATTACAATTAATTCTCATCAAAATATCATATTCGAGCATTTACATTTTATTAAAATAAGATTTAAATATTTGATTACTAGTTGTACTTCAAATTTATAGTTCACGGCTTAAAATATAAAAATATCACAAAATTATATTTAAAATGATCTTGATCTCCTATTAGTCTAATAATCTTCCTTCTTTGTGAAATAACTTGATTAATCATTACGGTCTTAGTCCAATTTCCAAGCAATCACTAGGTGTACTGACCAGGCTCTGGTTGCACTTCGTTACAGTCTTCAATACATAAGCTAGCCAAGCATGAAGATTCTTTAAGCCTGGTGTAAATATCCAACAATCACATGAGTCATTCATACTCTAGTGGATTTCTAGAGAACATGCAAAAAATACTTGTTTCTGTTGCGTCAAATCACGATAAAGCTATGATACTCACATCACTATCAATGTACCTCGTTCTATATCACTTTCAGTACGTTTCTCGCCAAGATTCGACGTCGTCATTTCCAGATTCAAACTGTCATTCGCGTATTTGGATATTTAGCAGCCTTCACAACGTATTACCTTGCTTGATAAGTTTATTTAAGAAGTCTTTGGTTCTCAAAATACTAAATCATCGCTGTAAACGTTTTTCTGATATTTACTGCATATTCAAAAACGGACTAGTTTACTAACAATTTTAAAAGTTTGCTGCCGTAGGGTTTTAACAGAATTACAACTCACGCAAATATGCCATTGACAAGAGTTTGAGATTTTCTAAACGTAGCATATAATGAAAAGATAGAATAAAGGTTACTGATCCTAAAACATTACTATTGTTTGGTTGTAATTAAGCACAAAGCTACACAATGGGCTATCTGGGCTCTACACACCACGGGTATCGAAACCCGGATTCTAGCGTTGTAAGTCCGCAGACATACCGCTGTGCCAGTGGGGGGGGGGGGGCAAAACGTTACTATAAACAAATTACTATCTTAGCGTCGTTCGAGTGATTAATAAAACACGCATTTTTGTCTAATCAATGCAAGACAGTAAGTAAACTTATTTCTACAACAATGAAACTACAAAACAGGAAAAATAAATTAAAATACCAGAATTCTCCGAAACCATAGCCATTTTTTTTTTACTTTGGGTGCGGGTTAAGTCTACGCATAAAAACTGTACATGACATCTTAGGCCCCTCATGACGTCGATTTGTGCACTCGAGAAGAGAAGAAAGAAAAAAAAAACTAAGGAAAACTACGTTTTGACATCCCCATCTCTACTCTCACACAATTTATTGTTGTTCTTTTCCATTGCCCGACACTTGAACGAGAACGAAACATTCGAGTGGCGGCACTGCTTGTCAGAAAATTTCTGTTTAAGCTTCACGAACTTCTATAAGTGGAAATACATGCCTTTTAGTCAAAATAATCTCAAGCAGCTCTAGTGATGGGAAGCTGTACTAACTTCTGGAACCAGCCTTGAAATCTTGAATGGTTGTGCTTTTTTTAAACACCCACATGCGTTAATTCCGTGCTTTATCATTAAATATAATGACAGCAGTCATCTAAATACACGTGTTCGTATAAAAAAAATCTATGTCAAAAGAAAGTCCGTTTTCGGCACGTCCGTCTGCTGACGTTAAGGATAACGCATGAGACAGAAAGTTTACATTTGATTTTAATGTAGATCCACTTAAAATATTAATGTGTCTTTAACAAGATGACTTTGTTAAAAGTACATATAGTACAGACTTAAATAAATAAGAGTGAAAGAAAATTAACATGTTATTTTTGTCAGAAACGCTGCAGTTAAAAGTCCAAAAAATGGTTATAAATGTACATTTTTTTTGTAATAAAAAATTATTTATAATTGCGTTTAATATTGTTAGAACCGACTTCGAAGTTCAGTATTTAACCAATTTGAAAAATAATCGTTTATCATATTCGAATACTGAAATTTACGTTGACTACTAATGTACACATCTATTTATCATCTTTCTCCCTCTCGCACACATTTTCATAAAACATCTTTCTCAGATCAAAAACCATCGGATTTTTTTATGACGTTTAGTTACTTATTAACATATGTTATATT